GCCAGCAACAACTATTGAGTAATGGATGCATGCTTCCTCATGATTTGCAATTCCGAACAAACAGAAAATATCAAGGAATGGCTTCATACAAGACCTGGTAGCCTATTCATACGGAAATGATATGTTTGTTCTCTGTTTCCTGTTTGAGCTGCTACTTTCAGTTCACACTTTACCGATAACAACATTGCGTCATGAAACAGATCAGCTCAATGCTTTGAACTGATTTGAGGCGACTCATGCTGCGATTCTGATAAGCAATCAGGATAAGTCCGGTCGAATCAGATAGCGTTGTAGTTAATATGGAGGCTACGTCACTTAATTGATTATATAAGGATGGTTTGATCTGAGCAGCCACCATCATCCAGAAAACCAATGGTTTATTCTACTCTTGTGCTAGCCGGTAAGTCAATTGGTTTCCAAGCATCTTGAAAGACATCTATTTCAGCTGTTCTTTCGGTACTCTACTTCCAGCAGACTTCTGCAGTAACATACTGTAACACAGTCAACATTCCCGTAAAATCATCTAATTACAACACAGTTTAGTATTGATATTCAGTCTGTTACCAAATGCTACCAAACGTACATGGCCAGCTTCAACGTTCGTATGAGGGATAAAATTCCTGAATACTGGGTTTTCCGTAACGCACGCTCTGCATTATTCAAGAAAAACGGACAATACGAAGAAAGTCTTAATTGCCAGTATGTTCTCTTATAAATTCAATCGATCATTATCTCATTAAGATTCACCAATACTCTCTTGAACTGCCTTGATAGTAACTTTGAATGTATGGGGCAATACACTTATACTGCTCTCGGAGCTTCTAATAGCACAGAAGCTATTGACTACTGGACTGATCTTCTTATAAATCAGTACCAATGTACAACGGAGGGATATCAGCGTAAGAACTGCGTCAGTTTCTCCTTGTACTTGTGTGTTACAGTGAAAATGGACAATTTTTCCTGTTATGAGAACTGCCGCAAAGATCATTCATCTGAAATTGATAGTTGTCATTCAGACCTCGCCAGGAACATTAAGAGCGGAATGGAACTGTGCTTGTAAGATTGATATATGTTTCGCAATCAGAATCCGAATCATTCCAGAGCTTTACAAACAAATGTCAATTGCAACTCTGATATTCAGCGCAAGTGCTGTGGATACAATGCTTCCGTTCTCGCCTGCAACACTGAAGTGGCAGGTAGCCGAGCATCCACTCCAGTCTGTTCCCAAAGGGGGAATGTATCATGTCCAGTAGCCAACTAAAATCGTTTTGTGTTCATCATGTATATATATCAGATGAATAAAAAATATGAATATATTCCCATGAAATCAAACTTGTGTATTGAATGAAACATTGAATTGCAAAGTAGTTGATGTAAATACCCACAGTTCTTCACAGCACAACGTGACTGCTTCATTTGAGTCTCGTAATGGGTGGCTCATCTTATCTTTAGACCACGTGTCCGTGCATTGATAAACATCCGAATGCATGTACATCTCGCCTACAAAGACCAAAATTTTTCTCAGACTTCTTGAAAATATCCTAGTTTGACTGGAGAGCTTGTGGGTTTAAACAAAGAATATGCACGACCGCTCATTCTTTCTTAATTTTATGAAAATGAAAAACAAGCAGCTTGAACGTTTGTATGACGGATACCATACCTGCATACTGGGTTTTCCGTAACGCACGCTCTGCATTATTCAAGAAAAACAGACAATACGAAGAAAGTCTTAATTGCCAGTATGCCCTCTATATAAGTTCAAATGATCATATTCCATTAAGATTCACCAATACTCTCTTGAACTGCCTTGATAGTAACTTTGAATGCATGGGACAAAACACTTATATCGCTTTCGGAGCTTCTAATAGCACA